TTAGGGACCAGTTCTGCAATCCTTACTCATGTAGTGCCATTAAACTCAATGGGGTAACTCACATGAGTAAGGATTGCAGAACTGGTCCCTAAATGTGTGTGAAATAACTATGTTATAGTGCCCACCCATTTCAGAGTGCTGGGCAGATTTCAGACCGGTAGGCAAGCTGTGCCACAGGGCTGACTTTCTTCTTCTGTGGGGTTTTTGCATGTAGTGGCTCCTTGTAATGGCTGACATGTCTTGTATTAGCAGAAAGAGATCAGGTGGTTGAAAGGGTAAAGTGGCAGCCCCTTGTGTCAAGGTGCTTGATGATTTCTGCTACCTTTAGCAGATTGTTCACCCCCTCTAGCTTTCTAATGACAAAGGAAGGAACAACATCACCCCGTGCTGGTCCAGGGAGCATGGCAGGGATGCCATGGCTCCAAGCAGGTTTCAGCAGGTGCCTACAGCTGGAACTCCATTAGCTCTGCTTGCTCTTCACTAGGCAGAAAGCATCCTAGTGGAGTTTTGGTTGTAGCCTCCTGAAAAACTGTTTCCCCTCTCTAGCGAGTCTTCCATTTCCTTAGCAAATTAGCAAGAGCGGCTCTGACTTTGGCCTCAAAACTGTAAAAAGAAAAGCAACTGGGAAACTAAAAATAAGTAGTTGCTTATAAAGGCCTTTTAACTGACACAGTATCATTCCTTTTGCAGATAGAGATTGTGAACTATATCTGCTCTAAACAAGACGTCTTCTCCAGTAAAATAAAAAATTGTTGTGAGATGCCAGTGGTGGAACGAAGTGAGTGTGTTGTTAGGGCAGGGTTTGATGACACACCTGAAGGCTTGCCCTTGCTAGCTGAGAAGTACGTAGAGGACAAGGAGGTGTGCAAACACTTTGCTGCAGAGCATGATGTCTTCATGGCACAGTACGTATAGCAAATGTTGTGTGTTCTTGCTGGTGACTTCTCTGAACTATGTCATTTTACACCTGAGGATATGTCCTGCAGAGTATTGTAATCAAGTATGTAATGGAGAGATTCCTTTGTCTGGTCCTTTGAGTGACTGACCTATCACTTATGGCATCTTGAAATTCTATCCATTTTCCTCTATTGTAATTCCCATGTTTTGTGACACATTGTATTTACCACCATCCTTCTGAAGATGAATTGCAGATCAGTTTGTCAGTGGCATGAGATTTCTTTACATGTAGGAGTTCCATGTGCTTTGTCTGTAATATCTGATTTTAAAAGATTTTTGGCCCTGGGCCGCAGCTCCTCCATCAGCAGCCAGGTTGACAGACTGTTCTTATAGCACCAAAAACTGTACTCTATTAGTCAGGCTGCTGCTCCACCACCCGTGCACAAGAGAACTGTATCCAGACTGGAAAGAATTGTACCCATGACAAGCATGTAACCATGTTACTTGTTAGAGGCTACTATAGTCTTAAACTCTAATGCTGGCAGTTTTCATGTTACAGATTTCTTTATGACTATTCGAGAAGGCATCCTGAGTTCTCTGCTCAGATGCTTTTGCGGATTGCTAAGGGATACGAAGCCATCCTGGAAGTATGCTGCAAAACAGAGAATCCTTCTGAATGTTACAGTCACGCAGTAAGTTCTACTGTTCAATCACACATAACAGGAAAACATTAGAATGTTTTGGTGATAAATTCTCATGAGTTGATGGTGACCAAAGGGATTTGGATGGGATTCTGATGGTTAGGGATTTACTGGGGATTAATAAAGGGGATTATTTGGGATTTACATAGATGACGTAGCATTTCTGTGTTTGTCATTCATGACACGTACCTATGGTTTCCTGGAATGAATGAACAAACAATTAGAGTAACTCCATAAGGCACCCCGAGCCTATGTAAAATGACTGAGATCATTAAGTTAAGTTCTAATGGACACGTATGCACATCAAAAAAGCAACCTCATAGAGACATCTTATATGTTAACTTCTGCAGAAGGGCTAAAGATTCAGCGAACATGGAGAATGGATAGTTCTGTCATTCCAGAAATGGTCCCACAAATTGAGGGTTAAGGCAAGTTAGTGGAACAGCATATGTTGCCACTAATTTTGTTGTTCTCTTTTTATCCATTGAACAATCTCCAAAGTTCAAAGCCCTGTAACTTTTATTAGCACTAAATTGGTTTAATAAAGAGAGAAAAAAAATACTACATACAAGATGTCTGGAGTTTTGTTTTAAGTCAAAATGTTTCCCTTCCCAACATCAATGGATGGATTCGAATCCACTTTCAAAATCCTATGCTAACATAATAGGACTAATGGCAGCAATGGCAGTGGCCCCAGTGAGCATCAGGGCCACATTGTACTAGGCCTTGTATATAAAACAGTCTCTCTCCCAAAGAGCTTACCATTCAGTGAGAAAGTCTAACTAGACAGAATGCAAGTGGATTTGTTAGAAGGTGACAACTTGCATAAGCTCATTTTACAGTGCTAGTAGAGTCAATTGCTGGAAGATGAAGCTATACAAATTTAAATGGAAAAGAAGTTGCAATTTTTGCAGAGAGAATAATTAGCTATTGGAATAATTTACATCCTTGGGTAATAGATTGCTAATTACTTGACGCCTTTTAAACAAGATTGGATGTCTAAGATATGCTCTAGTTCAACCACAAGTTGTTATACTTAATGCAGGAATTACTGGGTGAAACTCTATACTTGTGATAGGCAGGACATCAAAATAAATGGTTATAATATTCTCTTTTATCCTTAATCTGTGGCGCTATGATTTTGCAAACTTGGACAAAACTGCATTAAAACTAAAGCAGTGCACACACACTTTTTTCCATTTAAAACCCACCAATTTGCTCTATAGCATTTGTGAACCTTCTGTTCACTTTTCACAGATATCTGTGTGAGCAAAAATATTTTCACAAGAATGTTCATAGACAGACGATGTATACTGTCTAAATGAACATTCACACTAGGAGTTATGGGCATCATGAAATAATTCTGAATAATGAACAAATTCCTACAAGTCAAAGGTCATTCTCAAGAGGAAGGACGACAGAGTGGTTAGGGTAGTAGTCTGTGACTCAGGATATCAGATTCAGTTCCCTAGTCTGCCACAGACTTGGTGCATGCCCTTGAGCAAGCCACTTAGGCTGCCTGTGACTCAGTTCCCCATCTGTATATTGAGAATATTTTCCAACTGCACAGGTGTGTTGTGAGGACAACTACAATAACGATTGCAAGGGTCTCAGATGATGGTGATGAGGACCATAGGTGTACCTCAGAAATGATAGAATATTTATGAATAGAAATGGCCTAAATGGGATAGACAGGAGTTTCTTTGTGAGTTGGGTGTAGTCTCTAATGAGAGCCTTAGATAGATAACCTGCCTCTAATAAGGATTATATTTACTTGCAGGAAGAAAAACTCAGGAGTTACATCCAGGAGACTCAGGAAATAGTCAAAACTAACTGTGCTCTCCATGCCAGCTTGGGAGAAAATGGCTTCCTAAAAGCGTATGTTTCTTTGTTTTGGAGTGGTTCCATGTTTATCCAGTGAATGGTCAGGATTTTGTAAAGATGAAATTCTCCAGACCCAAATGAATAAGACAAGGGTACAATTTAACCATTAGTGTTTGTTCAACTGGCAGTGCAGACGACGCCATTATTCCAATGAAGAAGAAGAGTATTTAGAAGTTATGGTATGAACAGGAATGTAGGCTTCCATAGCACACGTAATGGTAGACTCATTGCTGCTTCTGTTACTACAGCTAAGAATGCAAAAAAAATTAGTTCAGCTTTGGACAGATCTATTTGTACTTCATTGAACAGCCCTATCTAGGTGCTTTATTTAAAATTTTTCTTTATAGTTGAACAATCTAGAATATTTTTTATTTCAGTATGCTTGTCCGCTACACCAAGAAAATGCCTCAGGTGTCACCTGAAACATTGATTGAAATCTCAAAGAAAATGGCAGCCGTTGGTAGCAAGTGCTGCCACGAAACAGAATCTAGACGCATACCTTGTTCAGAAAGACATGTGAGTACATTTCTTTCTTTACCGTAGCTTTCTTTTTGATGTGTTTTCTGTGTACTGCACTTTTACAACGCTAAATATTCTGCCCAAATGCAGAGAGCAGCAATTTTGTTCTCAAAAGGTTCAACATCCTGTTTAGGAGGAAGTATACAGTATGCTCTCTAATGGAGACATTGGCCTACATCATATATATATAATTTTAAATAGAAGCCTAAAGTTAGGCTTCCAAATGCATAGGTGGAAATCTGCCACATTTGCAATGGAGATGAGTTCCCCAAATGCTGGTTACCATGAAGACATCATGAAATAGGTTTTATTTGAAGGCAGTTTAAAGATTTAGGTATTTCTGAACAAGGGTCTAGATCTGGCAGTGAGCTCATCTTGCTGGGAAGCGATGCCATTTGTGAAACTAGCAAAGAGCACCCAAGGGGAGAGACCATGAACAAATTTCTTGTTTAACAGTCTGCAGAAGAAGATGCCATCTGTATTTTAGAGCATAAGAAATTACATCACTTTTCTGGAAGATGGCCGCCTTCACAGCTAGGCTCAGAAATGCCGGTTATAAATCCTTTCCTGGTTACTGATTGGATGAAATGTTGAAGTCCTGAATAAAATTCTTTAGAAGGGGCAACTTTTGTCTGGGACAATCACTTGTCTAAGTCTGAGAAGTTCCAGAATGATTGAATGTTTTCATTCTGTTTTCATGGGAGCTCTGCTTAACAAGAAGTGAAAGCTGCCAGCACCCCTGCCTATACTATGTGACATTAGGAACATGCATTGCTTTTATTAGCATTAAAGCTAAGAGTGCTGTGAACCTTGTTTTTGTTGCTCTCCCTCTTTCTTTGTTCAGCTGAGTGTGGTGATTCAGAATATGTGCATGAGACAGGAGGCTACACCTATCAATGAAAAAGTCACACACTGCTGTGATGACTCATATGCTGACAGGATACCATGTTTCACCAAGATGGGAGTTGATGAAAGCTACAAGCCCCCTCAATTCACCCCTGAACTGTTCACCTTCCATGAAGATTTGTGCACTGCTCCTGCTGAAACACAGCAAATAAAACAGCTAACGTAAGATATCTGTTTGCTAATTCACAGCAGATTTTAGGATTAAGCTCTGATAGGGAAGGAGTCACAGTTTAACATAATTTTCCATATAAAGTGTAGTTGTAGCCATGTTGGTCCCAGGATATTAGAGAGACAAGGTGTGTGAGGTAGTATCTTTTATTGGACCAACTTCTATTAGTGAGAGAAACCAGCTTTTGGGCCACACAAAGCTTTTCTTCAGGTGTGGAAAAGGTACTCCCAGCAAAATGTAAGGTGGGTGAAACCAGACAATCACTACACTCTCAAAACAAACTAGAAGAGGAAAATGATAAAACACAAAACACACCCTATCACCCGTGGGTGAAGACTTTTCACAAAGTGATCACTCCATATCTGACCTCTCAGTCCTCAGCCTCAAAGGAAACCTGCACAACACCTTCAAAAGACGAGCCTGGGAGCTTCAATTCATTACTCTGCTAGACACTAAAAATTATGGACTGAACAGAGATACTGGATTTATGGCTGATTACAACAATCTGTAACCTGCTACCCCCCTCTTTTTGTCCTATGATTGCTAAGTGTTAATGGGACACTACCTTGAATGGTCCCTTGCACATATTGTAACTGCTCATTTTTAAACAAACAATCTGTTCCACCATGCATTTTGTATGATGCCGGGAGTACCTTTTCCAGTCCTAAAGAAGAGTTCTGTGTGGCTCAAAAGCTTGTCTCTCACCAATAGAAGTTGGTCCAATAAAAGATATTACCTCGCCCACACCATGTCTCTAAAATTTTCTATACACAGTGAGGAATCATTTGCTACAATAGCACTATGGTAGCCTTACCAGCGAGTCGTCAACACATCATCATTTACTAATGGGATGAATTTTCTACCTAGCCAGGGCTTTGCAGTTACTGTTTTCACAATTGGAGGCATTCAGTTACACCAACTGAAGATTTGGTGTAGAAATCAACAGACTATACCAGTATACCCCACCTGAGGATCTGACCCATTGCACTAAAACTTTGAGCAATAATTTCCAATAGTACAGTTAATTCACTTCACGGTCAACTCATGTAGCTTAGAAAAGCAACAAAGAGTCCTGTGGCACCTTATAGACTAGCAGATGTATTGGAGCATAAGTCTTTGTTGCTTTTTACAGATCCAGACTAACACAGCGACCCCTCTGATACTTGACATCATGTAGCTTTAGTTTTTTTTATTTTATTTTATTTATTTTTTAAAAGAGGAAGAATTTTCTGTTTTAGGATCCAGCAGTATGTGAGTGTGACTTTAGGCCAGTGATAACATCGGTAAGATGACATGGTTATTCAGCATGAGGCAATACATAGCTGTGCTATGCTAAGTAAAGGTGTTATTTTCTCTGAATACTAAAAATGTCTAAATTGGCCAGTTTCACATAGGCATCCTAGCAGAGTTGGGTCTTAAAGAGGGACTTTGATGGTGGCTTTTTGCCTCTCTGTGCAAGAAGTCTGTTCCAGACATAGGGGCAATGTTGCAAAAGGCGCGAAGGTGGTTGTGGGAGCAGGGGACAAACAGTGTTGTGAGCCTGGAGTTGTAGGTGAAGTGGCAGAAGCACAGGTGGTGGTTATTTAAAGTTTCCTCTGTATTATATTCCTCAGTATTATATTCTGCATTTAGGCTTGATCCAAAGTCCACTGGAATCAATGGGAAAACTCCCATAAACGTCACTGGACATCAGATCAGGCCCATATGGAGCATATTGTAAACAGGCCGTGGATCTGCACAGGAATCAGGGAAATGTGATATTACAAATTGGTAACTCAAGTCACAATAACTAGTATTAATTTTACATTGCTGCATTTTGTGTTCGTTTCAGATTCCTTGTCAACCTCATTAAACTAAAGGTCACTATAACAGATGAACAGCTACAGAAAATCTTTACAGATTTTACTGGCATGGTAGAAAAGTGCTGCAAAGCTGAACAACACGAGGCATGCTTTGGTGTAGAGGTATCTCACTATTTTCATGTATCGAGGGTATATTCTTGATTAAAGGAATGCATGGAGAATGTCAATATATACGTTTTAATCAAATGTTCAGCAACCTAGAATGGCTCTGTGTGTGAAGAAGCAATAATTTTGCCTAGATGATACACTCTACAGCAATATATATACATACGAGTGTGTGTGTGTGCGCGCGCGTGTGCACAGAGAATTTATTTAATCTAAAAGATATGTTTAAATCTGCTTGAGCTTGCATCCAATATTTCCCTTATGTGCTAAAGATTCTTCTAGGACATGCAAAATAGGAGCTTTAAGGATTACAAATGAAAATTGCATCTGTATAATTGCAGAGAGGTCTGAATAATAACATGGAAAGAGGAAGAGCTGGGCAAATTATGTTCTGTGGACATTCATTCCAACTTTTAAACAAGTTTACTTTGACTGAGCCCTCCAACTCCTTTTGATTTTTGCTCTTGCTGATTATTCAGGCAGACAATCACAGAGACTGTTAATTTTAAGCAAATATTGGAGAACAGTGTCAGAAAGCAATTTCCGCAAGTTCTAAGCTTTATGCTTATCCCGTCAGGAGACAGAAGTGTGCAATGTGACTTGTGTCCAGTCAAAACAGTTCAGATTTCAAAATTCAAAAATCAAATATTTGGAAAAAGCTACTTGGGAGCGACCTACTAAGAGTTATTCACAGAAATTGGAAAAATAATTTAAGACTCACAGAGAACTCAGAGAAAGTATTAAAATTTGTCAAATATTCTCATTTTGAATTACTCAGTTGGCTCTCATGACATATACCCTCCCTTTAAAATACGCCCCCATCCAATTTTAATAATGATTTATCATCTAATGCTACTTCTATTACCATCCATATATTTAATATGTTCATATGAGCATATAACAAATATAGAATTGGGATATTTTAGACTAATTATGCATTTTATTTTTTACTCATTACTCAGATACCACATAAGTGAGTACATTAAAAATGCATGGTAATATTACAGGCAGACAAGATATTAATTTTTTGGAAATACATTTCTATATAAACATGTTTTATCACTTTGAGTTTGCAGAATAAAGTATGAACTCCTGTAGCAAGCTTCTCCCAGGCATAGCTGCTTAATAATTAAGGCTGGTTGGCCACAGATCTTGCAGTCCTTCAGGACAAGCCACCAGTAACAGGACCATTATAATCATCCCCTCAAACCTCCTGTGTAACACAGACCATAGAATTTAGCTTATAGAAGCTTCCTGCTCAAATACTATGCAATTTCCTTTCTTTGATTCTCTCTTGTAAATATTTGTAATCTTTTTCCAGGATCCAAAACTGATAGCTGAAATTAAAGCCATTTTAGGAATTGTCGGAGTCTAAAGCATTTCAGGTAACAGCAAAATTTATATATTGGGAGCTCTGTGCATTTAACTGCTCAGAACAAATATGCTCATAATTTAATGTCAGATTTCTTCCTTGCTGCTATTTGTGTTACCATGGTGCCTAGGAACCTACTAGTGGACCAGTATCCCATTGTTCTAGGGTCCTGTACAAACACAGAACAAGAAGGTGGTCCTGGCCCCTTATGTATGTGGGTTTTTGCTCTTACAGAGCATGTGCCAAATTTTTCTTCCCAAATTCAGAAGGGGTTTTCTAATTACTCCTTTATCATCAGCAGCACTGAACATCTCCCCAACTTTGGCTAGCCCAATCCGAAGAATACTCAACATTCTGCTGAAAGTCTAGGGTTCTTATCCTAAATGACACATACTGACAAAGAATCCTTCATAGTAATTTTCATACATTTCACCCTTTAGACCAGGGCAAAGATCAAGGCTGAGATTTTCAAAGGAAAATAAGGAGATGGGTGCCTAACTCCCCTAGGCTCTTTTGAAAACCCCAAACTATGAACTGTAAATCTCATTCATGATGCTGGCTTGTATTTGGACCTCTAAATCAGCCCAGATAGGTTAGTTGTGATAGCCATCCAACCATCATCAAGACTGAATATTGGTCAAGGCAAGAGAGAATGGATGGTCTTGGGGGTTAAGGCACTGAATTGGGATTTAGGAATTGGAAATCCAGTTTTTATTCCCAAATTGAGGGCAGATCAGTCTCTCCTTACCTTAGTTCTTCACCTGCAAAATGGGAGAAGTTCTTACGGTACCTCACTGGGATGTTAGAAGGATAAATTAATATTTGTAATGTGTTCAGATATTATGGTAACATGATCCATAGAGTATTAGAAACATGGTAGATCTGTCCAACTGCATATATAGTTACAGTATGATTCTCTACTGATCCCTTTACAACATGGCTAAATGTGGATTGTATCTTAACTCTGTTCCATGACTGGAGATAGAGCCTTGATCATGTCCACACAAGTTTTATTTGTGTTCTAACTGAGTTGGAGAGCTCTGTGCTTTAACTTGGTCTTCTGGAACAGATGGAGCTGTACTCAGGACATCCCTATGCTGAGCTGACAATGGAAGTCTGACTTACAACATGAGAAGCATTATAGTCCCAATCCTACAAGGAGTTATTCACTTGCTTAACTTTGTGATGTGAGCAGTCCCAAATGATTTCATAGGGCAAGATCCTGCTCACATTCAAGTTAATGGAAAACTCTGATTGACTTGAATAGTACAGAATCAAGCACATAGAATTATTCACATGCTTAACTTCACTCACTGAGTACAGAGGCTCTGATCCTGCAATCTTAAACTGTATCCTTAAAACAAACAAACAAAAAAAATAACACACCAAGCAGATGATGTGAACAGAACTCTTAACTACCACACATGTACTTTCACAAATGGATGGGGTCACCTTTGGTTATCAGACAGAATTCTTGTGTGCAGTGTTGTTGTAGCCGAGTTGGTCCAGGATATTAGAGAGACAAGGTGGGTGAGGTAATATCTTTTATTGGACTGACTTCTTTGGTGAGAGAGGCAAGCTTTTGAGCTTATATAGCTCTTCAGATTTGGGAAGAGAAGAAGAGCTCTATCTAAGCTCAAAAGCTTGTCTCTCTCACCAACAGAAGTTGGTCCAATAAAATATTACCTCACTCACCTTGTCTGTCATATACAATTACTGGTAGTTTAGATGTACATTTTAGTTTTACCAAGTCATCCTTTTTGTTTTTCCTTCTACCCAGGTCACCAAAGGAGAAAGGTGAAATTCATCTATGCAACTTCTCCTGTACTTTGCTTCCTGTCTCCCCCAACACTGACACGTGGTTTAGAATGCTGTTTAAAAAAAAATACTCAACGTTTTATGGACCACAGATTCTTCAGAAACTTCTCAGATGTTAACAATAAAGACAAGTTTTTAAAAAGTCCTCATTGTTCTAGTCTGTTGATTAATTTTGTGATACAAAAAGTTTGCAACACTCTATAGTCAAATGGTTTCAAAATGTAACACTTACATACTAGAGATGGATCCCCTTGACCCTTCTTTACCATCTCTTGTAAAATTTTAGTGTAATGATCATTATAATGAATTATTGCAATATTACGTTGGGCCAGATATTGAGACCCTTACCCCGGTCAGTAACACTAACTGAACTGTTCTATTGACTAAAGAGGCTATATGTGGAATATCAGGAGTTTCAGGACAGGAGGGACCACCAGATGCTTCTAGTCCAACCATTCTAGTCTAGTTAACATGAATAAAACTATCAGAATCTGGCCTTTTACAAAACAAACATTTTACATCAGTAAAGATGGCTCCTAATATTTATAAGCTTGGGGAAAATTTGGATAAAGAGCTGGATTTGCAGCTCATATATTTCTCTCTTAAACACAGCCACGGACAGCAAATGTGGTTTTAAGTTCAGAGATGCCTCATTCAAAACATACACCGTAATCAGTGCTCTTGCACGGCATTGAGTTCACAAAACTCTGTTCGACTGAAAACCATTGAAACTTTACATTGTTCTTGTAAATAGCTGTGGACTAGTACATTTACTAGAACCCCTCTAGTCCAAGTTAATAATGTCACATGTTTTCCCATATGGGTCAGGCTACTATCTCTTTTGGAGACCGTCAACTCTGTCTGACATGTAACATGGGCAATACTACCTGCCTGTAAAACTGACCCTGACTAAAGTTCAGAAGCCCTGGTTCTTCACCTGATTAGGTTGCAAAGGACATGCCCAGGAGAGCAGTGAGACATTCAGTCAGATGATATTCAGAGACAAAGGCAGAACTGGTTGAAAATGTAAAAAGCAGATTCATGAATGAAAGCCTTGAGTCCAGGTCACTATTATTCATGGCTTCATGAGATTCTGTATTTAAGACTATGTATACAACCACAAGGTAGTCACAAAAAAGTGTTGCTGAATCCTGAAAGTTCCATGAGCTTGAGCACAAATCATTATTCAGCCAAAAGTTTGTACCAGAAGTAAATTATTCACTCTTTGCTGGTCACTGTTTGTTGTTGTTGTTTCCTAGTTTAAGAAGTTTCAGCAGATGAATTCATACTGCAAACAGTTAATGGTCAAAGTGAACAGTTAGCTGACCACCCATAGGCTAACGATTGTTGATTTAGACTACTATTCGGTGCATGCCAAATATGTTCACAAAAGTCAGGATCCATTCATCAATGAGCCACAAACCGAAAGAAAAGCTAAATTCACAATGGATATTATTTTTAGAGGTAATCCTGCCAGCTCCACACAGGGGAATTATTCAGATTTGGATGATCTTCGGTGTGGAACTATAAGGGCTACTATGTGTAGTGCAAGGGAGTGGCGTCAAATAGCAGTATCACAAAAACAGGTGGAGAAGACAGAAGGATGGAAGATTCTCATTTCTACATGTACGTACCAATACATTTCCCTGTGCAATGGCCCAGAATGCCCAAAGAGGGCTTTACATACCAGCAAATGAGACTGGCTTGAAGATGGACAGCACTTGCATTAACTATTACTAGTGTTTAGGCATTTAGGTGCATTACCAATTCTTGAGCCCTATTGATTTTAACTTGTGTGGAGCATTTCCCCAAAAACTTCTTGGCGGTAGGGTCCCCATGATGAACAGTTTGCTTATTCTTCAAATTTTCTCAGTGCTCACCAGCTGGGGATCATTCTGTCCCTTGCACCCTTTGCTGTGGGTCTCAGTTGACATGCATTTATCCAATTGCCTAGACTGACTTTTCTTCTGTTTGGCCCTCTCTCGGGTCAGAAAACAGGAGGCCATACCAGATCTGGCACAGAACCAAACACGGGGCAAGGTGGTTTTATGTGGCCCCTGGGTTGGCTGAGTGGAGGCAGAATAGATCCAACTCCCAGCTTCTGTAAACTGCATTGCATTGAAGTTCCTGTTCCGAAATCTCTAGTCATTTCCTCCAAATGTCAGCGTGGCCAACACTTGTGATGTTATCCCACATCTCGCAATATTTGGTGGTGGGGTTTGAGCACCAGCTCTGGCAGACAAATGGTTTCATGAAAACCTCAGCTTTTATTTAAAAAATGAAAATAAAATAGAAGTAAAGCTTCTAGCCCTCATGATTGCACACATAACCTGAAAACAAGGCATGAGAGCACCCTGAAGGTTTGAAACCCAAGATGCAATTAAACCTCTCCCCCCCCCCCCCCAACAGCAAATATTAAGCCAGTTTCATGATTTTTGAGGGCCAGGCCTATGATTTTTGAACACTTGGGTTAGCAGTAATGCACACAGCAGGGCTAGTGCAAGGTAATGGAGGTTTCAGTCAGTTTTGCTGCCATGTAACAATTCATTTCAGCACTCTTGGTGGTACATAAGTCTGCTTGAAAGCCACCATCCTTTTGTCAAGGCTAACAGAGAAAAGCATGTCCCCCAAATTAGACGTAGGCTAAAGAAATAAGAACTCCTTGATCTAAGTGTCTCAAGCTTGGGGTCTGGTGAATTAAAGTCCTTCAATTGAGAGAAAACCGGCTGCTTAGGATAGTATTTCAAACTAGGAACTGTCAGCAAGAACCTCCCAGCTCCTCTTCTCTGCATGGCAATGGAGGGCGAGAAGCAAGCTCTCAAATAGCCAGGTCTCAGGTTACTTATAGCCTTAAAGGAAACCACCAACAACTTGTATTGTGTCTGGAAGTGAACAGCAAGCCAGTACAGAGAAGAGCACAGGTGTTACCTGTTTACTGCAGCTCACTTCACTCAGAAGCATGCAGCTACATTCAGTACCAGAATGGGGGAGATCCTCAGCTGGCTAGCTCCATTAACTTCAGCGTGTGCTCAACAAGCCACAGCACATGGTTGGTATTGCCTAGACTAGAGGATGGGGAGCATGCAACAGCATCAAATCAGAGCATTCACACAGCAGTTAAAGCAGCACCTGGTTATGGAGCAAGAGTTCATCACGGGTACATAGTTGGTACTGTGATAAAAAGAGAAGCAGGCACCGCCTCATGAAGACAGAGAGAACTCACTCAGAAGAACTGAGATTTCTGCATGTTTTAAACATTGACCATGATACTCTATAAGGGCTGATCTACACTAGGGGGGAGGAAATCGATCCAAGATACGCAACTTCAGCTACGTGAATAGCGTAGCTGAAGTCGAAGTATCTTGGATCGAATTACCTGGGGTCCAGACGGTGCAGGATTGACAGTCGCGGCTCCCTCGTCGACTGCGCTACCACCGCTCACTCTGGTGGAGTTCCGGAGTCGACGGTGAGCGCGTTCGGGGATCAATATATCGCGTCTTAACGAGACGTGATATATCAATCCCGGATAAATCGATTGCTACCCGCCGATACGGCGGGTAGTGAAGACGTACCCTTGTAAGGCAGCTTTGCACTCTGGCAGTGTAAATGGTCTAGCAGTGAGTGTAAAAGTAATTTACACCCATTTTAAGGCTTCTTTTTTGCTACCAGAATGGTATAAAGGGGGCCTCAGTGTAAACAGGAACCAGGAGCATTCTTTTCATCATGGGTAATGAGCACAGAGGAGTCAACTTTGGCAGGAAAGTTGGTCCAGCTCCTGCACTGTTATTAACAGCATGAGAAACCAGCTCAGTCCCCAAATGCTCAGGCCTCTAGAGACATCCAAGACACACTGGGCATTCAATAAGGTACTAACCTTGGCTAAACCAAAATAAGCCTCACTTAAACTGAAGTAAGAGTGTCCTCACCGGGGCTGACTGGTGTGACTTTCTCATGGAGATGAGGCGAAAGCCTCAGTGGAGTGTATTTGCCGTTTATCTCTTTCAGCAGCCACCATGTTGCTGACAGAACGCAGAGCCTCCAGACACCGTGGAGCGCTTGCAATCGGTGTATGGGTGACAAGATTTTGCACAGCACTTAGTGAGGACTTAAAATGGGAGACAATGGGATTGCACTGGTATTACTGAGGATGTAATTTAGCCTGCAGGATCTTTACTAATGTTTCGTTCACCGCATATACACAGAGTTAGAAACAAAACAAATTCTCTTTGTGAAAGGTTGCAGTGAAACGCTACTTTGTTTGTAAGAGTTCAGAACCCTCACACACACAACAACCAAGTACAGACAGAGGCAGAGCAGGTCTATACTTAAAGCGGTGCAACTGTGAAGGCACTTCTACACCAGCAGGGGAGCTTCTCCTGTCCGTGTAGTTAATCCTCCTCTGCAAGAGTCAGTAGCTATGTCAACAGGAGAAGCCATCCCATCAACATAGCGCTGTCTACACCAGGGGTTAGGTCAGTATAATTGCATCACTCAGTTTGTAGTGTAGACCTGGCCTCTGGCAAAGAACTCACCTTGCTCCAGGCTGGCTCTTTTGCAGAAGACACAGATTGCACACTTCCCTAAGGGAAGTCCCCTAGCCTGCACGCAGGACAACCCCCTTAAAGCTTGAAATGATAGCTTGTAATATTAACATAGTCAGGGCCACCCAGAGGGCGGGGGCAAGTGGGGCAATTTGCCCCAGGGGCCCCCACAAGAGTTTTTCGGGGCCCCTGGAGCGGGGTCCTTCACTCGCTCCAGGGGCCCCGAAAAACTCTTGCAGGGCCCAGGCCCCCAGAGCTTTGTCTGCTCTGGGTCTTTGGCGGCAATTCAGCGGCGGGAGCCCCCTGCCGCCGAAGACCCCAGGCTCCCGAATCCTCTGGGCAGCCCTGAACACAGTTTTCAAACATCCCACAATTAATAGCAACTATAAGAGACTCCCCATCCTGGAGAGCCCCCTCAAGGCA